TTTTCTTTTTTGGTACTGGGGATCGAACCTAGGACGTTGCACTTGCTAGGCAAGCGCTTTGCCACTGAGCTACATCCCAGCCCTATTTCTTTTGTACGTCACTTTTATAATAACAATAAAAGATTAAAAAACAAAAAACACTTTTAATAGCATATCACTATCGGTAGCATTTGTCTAACATTAGAATGACAGTTTCAGCTTACACAAATTGATCCACTCAGATAATCAGCACTCAAATCAAGAAACACAGCCTTTTCTCCTGTCTCCTTTCTCCTTCTTTTCACATAGCCACTATTCTCATTTGAAACACTGTTAATGCTTGGTTTTTATCATTCTTTAAAAAAAACGAAAACTGATTTGATTGAATGATATAATGATGTTTATGAGATATTTGTACATTGTAATTTTTTATAATTTTGTTTTTTAGGCATATTGGATCCTCTTGTGTTAGTATTTCTTGGTTTCTCCTTGGCCATTCTTGAATATTTTCCAGAAGACCTGCTGAAGACAATTTTTAATATCAAATTCTTAGCCAAATTAGATTCTCAACTTGAAAGTAGGTATCTATATTTTACTTCTTTTTTTTTTGAGGGGAGGGGCCCGGTCATGGGGCCTGAATTCTGGGCCTGGGCATGTCCCTCAGCTCTTCAGCTCAAGGCTAGTGCTCTACCACTTGAGCCACAGTGCCACTTCTGGCTTTTTCTTTTTGCTTATGTGGTGCTTAGGAATCGAACCCAGGGCCTCATGCATGCAAGGCAAGCGCTCTACCACTGAGCCACTTTCTCAGCCCCTACATTTTACTTTTTAAAGTTTATTAGTTGCATTTTATATCCAATTTTCAGTTCTCCCTATCTTATGAACTTAAAACCTAGTAACTTTTTTTTTTTTTTTTTGCCAGTCCTGGGGTTTGAAATCAGGGCCTGGTGTTGTCCTGAGCTGCTTTTGCACAAGGTTAGTGTTCTACTATGTAAGCCACCTCTCCACTTCCATTTTATTTATTTATTTATTTAAAATTATTGGAGATAAGAGGCTTATAGACTTTCCTGCCTGGGCTGGCTTTGAATTGTGATCCTCAGATCTCAGCCTCTTGGGTAGCTAGGATTACAGGTATGAGCCACTGGCGCCCAGTGTAACTTTTTATTTTTCTGGTTATAATAGTGTATGATGATTGGCTGGAGGAATATAATTTAGTGGTAGACTATTTGTGTCTCATATATGGATATATACCAACACTTTTTTTGCTTTTTGCTGATATTAGAACTCAAGAGATATTAGAACTCTCACCCTCCTTTTGTGCTTAGCTTGCTTGTTCATGGTCCACTCTACTACATGAATCTACTACATGTTGGTTATTTGGAGTTGGAGTTTTATGAATTTCTGTTCTGTCTGGATTTGAAACTGGGTCCTCGAGGCCTTAGCCTCCTGAATAGCCACTAGTGCCTAGCCCAGAACTGCTTTTTTTTTTAAGTTGCTTTTCATAATTTTTGTAGAAAATTTGGAAAATACATAAAAGTATAAAAAAGAAAATTAAGCTGGATATGATAGTTCATTCTCCTAATACTAGCACTTTGGAGGTAGATGTAGGAGGATCATATGTTAAAGGCCAGTTTGTCTTCTTAGTCAATTTCAGGATAATCTGGGGGACCTTGTTTGAAAAACTATAATTTTACACCAAGTAAAACTACTACTTTTTAATGTTTTTCTATCTTCTTTTCCTCCTTCTTCCTCTTCTTCATCTTCTTCCTCTTCTTTTTCCTCCTCTTCCTCTTCTTCATCTTCTTCCTCCCCTTCTTCTTCCTCCTTTTCTCCTCCTCCTCCCCCTTCTTCTCCTTCTTTTGTGCTAGGAATTGATCCTGGGGCTTCTTGTGTCTTAAGCATGTGCTGTTCCATTGAGCTCTACTCTAGGCTTTGGAATATTTTCTTGTTTTTCTTGCTTTTATGTGTATATTTATATATCAGTGTTTTTTATTTTTATTTTTGCTAGTCCTGGGGCTTGAACTCAGGGCCTGGGTGCTGTCCCTGAGCTCCTTTTGCTCAAGACTAGTGCTCTACCACTTGAGCCACAGCTCCACTTCCAGCTTTTTTTGTGATTAATTGGAGATAAGTGTGTCACGGACTTTGCTTGGGCTGGCTTTGAACCTTGTTCCTTTGATCTAGTCTCCTGAGTAGCTAGGATTACAGGCGTGAGTCATCAGTGCCTGGCTGGGGTTGTTTATATTTTTACTTTTGTATGCTGCCTTTATTATCTAATTATATTTTAAAATAATTTTCCATAAAAATAATTTTCCATGTCATTAAATATTTTGATGCCATGATTTAAAATTAGATACATATTAAAACTTTTTTGTTATCTTCATAGGTTGTTTCCAGTTCTTCCTTCTGAATAATTATTATATATGAATCATTATTTTTTAAAATAAATTCCTAAATATGGAATATTAGAGCAGTGAAAGTTCTTGGTATCATTTTGTTTTCTTCTGTCATTACAGGGTTTGAACTCAAGACTTTTTTTTTTTGGGTCCGGTTGTTGGGCCTGAACTCTGGGCCTGGGCGCTGTCCCTCAGCTCTTCAGCTCAAGGCTAGCGCTCTACCACTTGAGCCAGAGCGCCACTTCTGGCTTTTTTCTTTTTGCTTGTATGGTGCTGAGGAATCAAACCCAGGGCCTTAGGCATGCAAGGCAAGCACTCTACCACTGAGCTACCTTCCCAGCCCCGTGAACTCAAGACTTTATACTTGCTAGGCAGGTGCTTTGCCACTTGAGCCATGTCCTCAGGTTTTTTTGTTGGTCATGGGGCTGGAACTCTGGGCTTGTCCTTGAGCTCTTCAGCTCAAAGTGAGTGCTCTATCGCTTGAGCCACTGTGCCGCTTCCGGTGTTCTGGTGGTTAATAGGAGATGAGTCTCATGGTCTTTCCTGCCTTGGCTGGCTTTGAACTGTGATCCTCAGATGTTAGCCCCCTGAGTAGCTAGGATTACAGGCATGAGCCACCAGCGCTTGGCTAATGCCCTCAGTTTTATTGATAGCATTTTAAAAAAATGTAGTAGTTTTACAATTCATAATTGATAAAACTAGTATAGCAGGGTGCTGGTGGCTGGTTCAAGCCCCACGCTGGTTCAGGACCCATGACCAACAAAAAAAATAGTAAAAGTTTATTTTAATTATGCTACTGAATGTATTAGTTTCAAAATGTGAAGTATTTATGTACGTGTAAAGTGATTTTTATAATACAAGTATGAAAATATCAGCCCAAAGTGGAGATCAGTGATGCAAACAATGTTGTCTTTGCTAGTTCTAAGTTACTGAAATCTGTTACTTTATTTTTAATTTCAGTTTTACCTTCATCTCTACGAGAAAGGGTCCAATTTCGTCTAATGGAGTTAAATAGAGCAGTCTGCCTGGAATGCCCTGAGTTTGAAATTCCATGGTTTCATGATCGTTTTTGTCAACAACTGTTTAATAAAGGTTTGAGTTTTCTTTTAACTAGAAATAGAAATTAATTCTAAAGTAAATTATTAGGTAATAATACATTGCTTTGCTCTTTATTATTAAACCTGAGTATGACACACTGTTTCCTGAGATCCATGTCCTGATGATTTTTTAAAATTAATTAATTATTTTTGTGGGCATGAATGGCCTGGGTACTGTCCCTCAGCTCTTCAGCTAAAGGGTAGTGCTCTACCACTTGAGCGACAGTACTACTTCTGGCTTTTTCTGCTTATGTGGTGCTGACGAATCGAACCCAGGGCCTCATGCATGCAAGGCAGGCACTCTACCACTGAGCAACGTTCCTAGCCCCATGGTGAAATTTTTAGATAGGGATTGTGTTATAGGAATTCCTTCCTTCCTTCCCTCCTTCCCTCCTTCCTTCCTTCCCTCCTTCCTTCCCTCCCTCCCTTCCTTCCTTCTTTCCTTCCTTCCTTCCTTCCTTCCTTCCTTCCTTCCTTCCTTCCTTCCTTTCCTTCCTTCTTTCTGAGACCTAGTCTTGCTATGGACCAGATTGTCCCTCCTTTCTGGGTACCCCCTTGCTGGGATTTGTCCCACACCTGGAAATCCTGTTTTTTGAATGCAAGCACTTGTCTTATGTTAAATTTAGTGTCTTACATATGGTATTACACCGAGGCATTAGTCAGAATTAGCAGTCTTCCTTTTTCAATTTGTAGTACTAGAATGGTCATCATCTAGTAGACTGATTATTTCTACTTTCTTTAAGATACAGGCAATATGAGTTTAGCACAACAAGAAATTTACAGAATGTTAGCAGACATACTTGGAGGAGTCAATTGTGTGAAAGCTTCCACTCTTTCTCCTTATTATTACACAGTCGGTAAGTTGTTGGTAGATAATTGGTTGCTTTCAGTGGACCAGACTAATTTGAATAGAATCATCTAATCAACTAGAATTTTAAAAAGTTTAAAATTTATTTCAAAAACTGAGATAAAAATTTCCAAAGAGACAAAAGTAGACCAATACACTCTTTGCTTATCTTTTATTATGCTAGAGCCAATATATATTCATTGTATGAAGAAAATACAGGGGAGGCCTGGTGCTAGTGGCTCACACCTGTAATCCTACCTACTCAAGAGGCTGAGGTCTGAGGATTGTGGTTCAAAACCAGCCTGGGCAGGAAAGTCCATGAGACTCTTATCTCCAATTAACCACCAGAAAAACTGCAAGTGGCTCTGTGGCTTAAGTGGTAGAGCCCTTGCCTTGAGCTGAAGAGCTCAGGCAGAGTGCCCAGGCCCAGAGTTCAAGCCCCATGACAAAAAAAAAAAAGAAAAAGAAAATATTACAGGAGAGTAAAAAGAAGACAAAAGCACAGAAAATAACCTGTCCTAAAGAAATACATGTAATTAGTACTTAAAGTAGGATTATTAAATCCCAAGCCCATCAGAATTGCAATTTGTATGTGTTAATTCTCATTATCATGAGCATTATTCTTTTTTTTTTTTTTGTCAGTCATGGGCCTGAACTCTGGGCCTGGGCGCTGTTCCTCAGCTCTTCAGCTCAAGGCTAGCGCTCAACCACTTGAGCTATAGCACCACTTCCGGCTTTTTCTGCTTGTGTGGTGCTGAGGAATTGAACCCAGGGCTTCATGCATGCAAGGCAAGCACTCTACCACTGAGCCACCTTCCCAGCCCCTATGAGCATTATTCTTATGTGAAAGTATATATAAATCTTTAAGATTTAATTGTATACAGGAATATAGTATGATTACAACAATATACAGTTCTTTTTTTTTTTTTGTCGGTCGTGGGGCTTGAACTCTGGGCCTGGGCGCTGTCCCTCAGCTCTTCAGCTCTAGGCGAGCGTTCTACCGCTTGAGCTACAGTGCCACTTCCAGTTTTCTGGTGGTTTATTGGAGATAGGAGTCTCACGGTCTCTCCTGCCCAGGCTGGCTTTGAACCGCGATCCTCAGATCTCAGCCTCCTGAGAAGCTAGGATTACAGGCGTGAGCCACCATCGCCCGGCTCAATATACAGTTCTTAATCACGGTTAAACACTGTCTCTTAGCCTCTTTGTGCTCAAGGCTAGTGTACCACATTAGCCACAGTGCCACTTCTGGCTTTTTCACAGTAGTTTATTGGAGAGAAGAGTCTTATACTTTTCCTACCCAGGTTGGCTTTGAACTGTGACTCTTAGATCTCAGTCTCCTGAATAGGTAGGATTACAGGCATGAGCCATTGGCGCCCGGTAGATTTTGTGAATATTTTGGTACACCAACAAACATATTTATTGAATCTAATTTTTAATGTCTGAGGGACTGTGCTATGACTTACCTATATACAAAGACACCAAATTGAACCCATTAAATTGTGTGAAAAAATGGGAGGTGGGAGGGAATATAAACAAAGGAATGAACTTGTTCAAAGTACACTGTACACATGTATGGAATTATTACAATAAGACACCCTTGCATTCTAATTTGTGTTTGTTAAAAATTAAGTTTTAAAACTCCACAAAATAGGAAAACTACTATTGCAACTAGTTATATTAGTTTATGTACAATATATACATATGTAAATCTTTGCTTTTAATAGGCTTAGCTTCCTACAGCTGCTATCAAGAGATGTAAAGATATTAAAGTCAGACTTTTTTTTGGAGACAGTCTCACAGTGTAGACCAAGCTAACCCAAACTGGAGGCCTCAGCTTCCCAAGTGCTGTGATTACAGGTGTGCTACCACACCTGGCTTAAAATAATTTTTCTTGTTTTGGGTGCCAGTCTTGGGGCTTGAACTTAGAGCCTAGGTGCTGTCCCTGAGTGTTTGTGCTCAAGGCTAGTGCTTTACCACTTTGAGCCACAGCTTTATTTCCAGCCTTTTGGTAGTTAGAGATCAGAGTCTCATGGACTTTCTTGCTGGACTGGCTTTGAACCATGATCCTTAGATCTCAGCCTCCTCAATAATTAGAATTATAGGCATGAGCCACCATGCTTGGCTGAAATAAATATTTTCATGTGATTTGGAATAGTATAATTTGTTTCATATATTCATTCAGTTTAGGAATGCTCATTGGTAGATTTTACTGATTGATTTTCAAGGACAGGTATTGACGGACCAGATCTTATCAGTTGGGTAACTAAGGAGTTTTGTCTTTTTTATGTGTATGTATGTGTATATGTATATATATACATATTTTTGTCCTAAATTTTTTCCTATAAGAATGTATTGTTGGAGCTGGGAAGGTGGCTCAGTGGTAGAGCACTTGCCTTGCATACATGAGGCCCTGGGTTCCATTCCTCAGCACCACATAAGCAAAAAGAAAAAAGCCGCAAGTGGCACTGTGGCTCAAGTGGTAGAGTGCTAGCCTTGAGCTGAAGAGCTGAGGGACAGCGCCCAGGCCCAGAGTTCAGGCCCCACCACCGGACCCAAAAAAAAAAGAATGTATTGTCTAGGCACTGGTGACTCATGCCTGTAATCCTATCTACTCAGGAGACAGATCTGAGGATCACAGTTCAAAGCCAGCCTGGGTCGGAAAGTCCTGTTAATCACCAAAAAATTGGAAGTGGAGCTGTGGCTCAAAGCAAGCAAAAGAGCTTGGGAACAGGATCCAGGGAGTTCAAGCCCCATGACCAAAAAAGAATATCAATTTACATGATTAATTTCTATACTTTTAGATTTTGAATGTATCTTGGATAAGAGAAAAAGACCTCTTCCTTGTGGAAACCGTAATATAACAGTGGGGAAGCAACCTGGCATGTATTGGGAACCAAGTACCCAAATAGTTGGATCAGCTCTTCCACCAGGAGCTGAAAGGTAATTGATTTCTTAGTTTCATATTGTATTTATTAAAATTGGCATTTGGTTATGACCTTTGTTATCAAGGAGTAGGTATGGTTGCACCTTTTTCTTTTTCTTTTTTTTGGTCCGGTCATGGGGCCTGAACTCTGGGCCTGGGCGCTGTCCCTCAGCTCTCCAGCTCAAGGCTAGCACTCTACCACTTGAGCCACAGCGCCACTTCTGGCTTTTTCTTTTTGCTTATGTGGTGCTGAGGAATTGCACCCAGGGCCTCATGCATGCAAGGCAAGCGCTCTACCACTGAGCCACCTTCCCAGCCCCTTTACCTTTCTCTTATATAGCTCATGTAGTCTGCTTATGTATCTTATCCTTCCCTCTGCCTCTTGCCTCATTATCCTACCTTCACCTGTTCGAACCTAGCAGTCTATCTGAAAGTGCTCACCTGCTTGTCCTCAAATGGAAGGAAGTCCTGTTGTCTTCCTTTGTGCTCCCAAACCTCTACTTTCTTTTTTTTAACTGTATTTTTTTTTTGTCTTTTCTTTTTTGGTACTGGGGATCGAACCCAGGACGTTGCGCTTGCTAGGCAAGCGCTTTGCCACTGAGCTACATCCCAGCCCCCAAACCTCTACCTTCTGAGAGCACTTAGCCACCTCCTATGCTGCATTAGTTTTGTACCTCATATGTTTCCAGTTAGAGTTAATGCTGTGTTGCTTTATCTCTATGTGTAAGTCTCTTATGTGGAAAACACATGTATAAGTATATTTTTGGCCAAGGAAACATGAAAGTAAGGAGATAGTTTAATGTGTTTTAAATGAATCGGTATAATTGCTATTTTTTTAAGTAGAAAATAATTTTGTATACTCATATTTGTTTGCCTTTTTTTCTTTTTTCTTTTTTTAGCTTATAAAGATGCATTCTTAACCAGGTGCATGGCTCAAGTGTATTTTCCTAGTTACTTGGGAGGCAGAGATGGGGATAGTGGATTGAGGCCAGCCTGAGACTCCATCTCAATCAATGTCTGTGCATGGTGACATACACCAGTTACCCACCCAGTTATAGGAGAAGCACAATGGCTGGGTATAGCAACCCAGGGAAGCATAGATAGGAGGATCATAATCCAGGTCATGGGCAAGAAGCAAGCCCCTACCTTGAAAATACAAAGAAGGACTGGAGGTGTGGCTAAAGTGGTAGAGTACCTTGCTTGGCAGGAAAGAGGCTCTAAGTTAAATCGCCATACCTTCCCCCAACAACAACGACAACAACAAAAAGGAGCCAGGGATCAGTGGCTCACGCCTGTAATCCTAGCTTCTCAAGAGGCTGAGATCTGCGGGTCATTATTCAAAGCCAGCCCAGGCAGGAAAGTCTGTGAGACTCTTCTCTCCAATAAACCACCAGAAAACCAGAAGTGGCATAGTGGCTCAAGTGGTAGAGCATTAGCTTTGAGCTGAAGAGCTGAGGGCCCAGGCCCAGAGTCCAAGCGCCATGACAGACAAGGAAAAAAAGGTGCATTTTTGTTCCTGAAAGGCTGGTAATGACATATTTTCTCATTTTGCTTTTAGAAGTAAATGCTTATTTTTTTGTCTTATTTAGGATTGCTTTTGAATTTTTGGATTCAAGAGCTTTTTGTAGAAATCTCCCTCACTTAAAAGGAAAGTCTGCTATGAAAAAACGACATCTGGAAATTTTGGGCTATCACGTCATTCAGGTATGAAACATGTAACTCAGTCTTTAAAAAATCCAACAATCAGGTGGAGTGGTACAGGCCTGTGATCATAGCACTGGAGAGGCTGAAATAAGAGGAATACAAAGTGGCGCTGTGGCTCAAGTGGTAGAATGCTCGCCTTGAACTGAAGAGTTCAGGGACAGTACCCAGGCCCAGAGTTCAAGTCCCACAACCAACAACATTGTAAGACTGTCTGAAACAAGAATATAAAAAAGAAAGCAGACAAGGACAGTCGTGGTGTCTCACTCCTTCCTGTAATCCTGGATTCTGGAAAGATAGGAGTCAGGTAGGTCACAGTTCAAGACCAGCCTGGCCCAAACGTTAAAGACCCTCCTATCTCAGTAAGTGGTAGTATCCCAGTAGTATCCCTTTCTTGGAAAGCAGAAGGATTGCAGTCTGAGGACGTCCATGGGCAAAAACCTAAGACTTTACTAAAAAAAATAAAACAGAAAGGGCTGGAGGCATGGCTCAGGTAGTAGAGCAGTTGCCTTGCAATCATGAAGCCAAATTTAAAACCCCAATATGACAGAAAAACAAAACAGTCCAACCAAAAAAAAAAGCTCAGACTTTGACTATTCACTTTGCTTCAACTTTAAGGCTTCAGAATTGCCATTTTTATGTTAAAAAGAGTTAAAGTACCTCTGAAACAAATACCTTTTTGTTCTTAGTAGAATAAGAAAAATGCTATTTCTTTTATTGTCTTTAGAAAACTCTGTTGATTTATATATTTATGTTATGAACAAGATGGACAGGGTTGTAAGAGGAAAAGGCTAACGTGTGAGTGTGGAAGGATATGTGGGAAGTGTCCATTCCAGGCAGTTCCAGGCAGACAGACTCGCTTTGGTTTCCCTAATGGCTCAAAGGCTGTGCTTCTATAAAGTAATTTCTTAGGGTTCCCGCAGCTTTTCTTTTTTTCTTTTGTCAGTCATGGGGCTTGAACTCTGGGCCTGGGCACTGTCCCTCAGCTCTTCAGCTCGAGGCTAGCGCTCTACTGCTTGAGCCATAGTACCACTTCCCACTTTCTGGTGGTTAATTGGAGATAAGAGTCTCACGGACTTTCCTGCCCCGGCTGGCTTTGAAAAGCAATCCTCAGATCTCAGCCTCCTGAGTAGCTAGGATTACAGGCATGAGCCACCAAATACAGCTTCCCACAGCTTTTCTTAGAAATATTAGGTCTTCCTTTTGTGTGTATGTGTTGTTTTTCCTTGGTTGTTTTTGTAGCTGCTTTAAGACTTTGATTCAAAGAACATTACTTATTTTACAGATCCCTCATTTTGAATGGAACTCTATGGCAATGTCCAAAAAGGAGGCCCGGATAAGATACCTGAGAGAACATATATTTGGAACAGAAAAATCATGATTGTAGTTTTTATTTAAAATGAGTTGTGTATGTCACGTTTGTATTTGTTTTAATTAGGTGACTAAATTAAAAATCATAGGTGCACATATCCTGAGATGGGAACATGCCTGGTATGTTTGAGAATAACAAGGATCCATTGTGGCTGGAGCAGAACAAGTCGGTGATGAGACAGCAGTTAATAGCAGTTAAGAATACACTGCCTACTCTAAAGGTGGCAGGGGTTTAAGCAAGGAATGATAACTCATATTTGAAGTCCACCACTCTGGCTGTCCTATTGAGACAACTTCAGTGAAGCATGTGAAAACAAGAAATGAGTGATAGCCACTTAAAGCACATTTCAATAATCCTGTATAGTGTCTTGAATATAGTAGTAGCAGGGAAGGTGATGAAGAGTCAGATTTTTAAATGAATTTTGAAAGTATAGATTTGCTTACTGGTAGAGATGAGGTATGAGAGAGATAAAAGTCATGAATAATTCTAAATTTTTGTCTTAGAAACTTAAAGAAATTACTGTCATTAAATGATAGGGATGCCTATGGGAAGAGCAATATGAGAGATGGCCTGGGGTCTAGGAGAATTGTTAGCTCTTGTGATTTTTAAACAACTAAGTAGAAATAAAATGATTCAATATTTGACTTTGGAGGTTGGGAAAGGCCCAGGCTCCCGACATAAACCTGAAAGTTGTCATTGGTATTTAATGCTGCAAGACTGGAAGAAACCACTTAGGATATGAATAAAGAATAGGGTGAGTGTAGGAGAGATCACTGCACTGTGCTGTTGGTTAACATTAAAAGGTCAGGAAAGAAGTTTGGTACTAGTGGCTCACGCCTCTAATGAGTCATGGGATGTCAGCTCAGGCAGAAAAGTTCATGAGACCCCCTTCTCCATCCATAGCTGGGTGCAGTGATGTGCGCCTATCATCTCAAGCTACATGAAAACTATGATTGGAAAGGTTGCAGTGAATCCTTTCCAGTAGAAGTTGGGAATGATGGTGACATTTAACATCCTAGCTATGACAGGAAGACTTAAGTAGGCAGATAGTGGACCAGGCATGGGCAAGACATAATACCCTACCTCAAAATAACCAGGGCAAAAAAGGGCTGCAGGTATGGCTCAGTGCTAGATAACCTGCTAAGCAAATGTGAAACCATAGAGCTGACAAAAAAAAAAATCAAGAAAGAGGAACCAGGAGACTTAGCAGGGATGTCCAAGGGAGTAGGAACAAAAAGTCAGAGAAGGCTACTTTCTAGAAGTCAAAAAGAAAGCATTTGAAGAAGTGAGCAATTATATCAAGTAGTGCTGATAGGTAAGTTGAGATCTGGGAAATGCCTCACTAACTAGGACTGAGGATGTGGCTTGTAGAGTTCTACTCCTAGCTCCATCAGAAGAAAATGAGTGAAAAGCAACAAGAAAATTAGCAGTAACTTGAAAAGAAGTGCTAGTTATGAAAGCCTGTTTTCAGGAGAGAGGAGTATGCATGAATTTTTCTTTTAAATGGAAGCAAAGAAATAGAGTGATAGCTTGAATGGACTAATCTTGACCTAGTCTAATCCTTCAGTGTTGAAGGAATGATTTTCTCTGTCATACAACACATTCATAATAAAATAGTTATTAAGAATCAGTGGTGGGGCTGGGAAGGTGGCTCAGTGGTAGAGTGCTTGCCTTGCATCCATGAGGCCCTGAGTTCTATTCCTCAGCACCACATAAGCAAAAAGAAAAAAGCCGGAAGTGGCGCTGTGGCTCAAGTGGTAGAGCACTAGCCTTGAGCTGAAGAGCTG